TGCGAAATTTAGGGTGAGAGCTTACCTCCTGAACTTAAACTGCTTAAACAATTAGGAAAACACAAGTATTTTTGTTATTTGCACGCATACAAATTAAAATCATTATACAATAAAAAAATTAAGTTAAGTTTTATATTTAACATAACATATAAAAGAGAATATATTCAGATAGAAGTTCATTAACAATTTTTCGATGGACTGGGCACGCGAGAACTTTATAGTAGTTACAAACTATTTCATATAAACACTTACATTTTATGTTATACATATGTATACTTTTGGTGTAAAGGCATTCAAATAATATTTTATATTACTATAGTACTCTTTCTTCATGTTTTTATGTATTACTGAACATTGGTTGTAATATTCAACTCCATATTGAATTTCTAGAGGCTGCCCACAAGGAGGTGTTTTGTCACCCCTTCTTTGGACTCTTGCGGTTGACCAACTATTGTACAAAATGGCAGACCTACGTATTGACACACTGGGTACGTCAATATTCCATTCCATTCCGTTTCATTTCATTAATTTAATTCATTTCATTCCTTTCATTAATTTCATTGACATAATTCATTTCAGTCATTTTATTTCATTTCATTCATTGCATTTCATCGTTTGATGAGAGTATAAAAAAAATTCAATAACACAACTGATGAGTATCCTATGTGTTATAGGGTATGTTCCGAAATATAACGCAGTGTACTGTCCAATGCAAATGACGCCATGAATCGACGCTATACTGGTGATTCGTTCCAAAACATTGGACAGTATATGACGTCATACTTTTGCGCCATTTGGAAAAGTGTTGGTGATTATTTTGTCATTTTGTGCTCCAAAAATCATTATATCCTCTTAATGGATATACCATCAATTATTTTATAAATTTTTGTATTTGAATAAATAGAAACAAATTCTGGCATGCTTCATTCGGCAAACACACAATTAAAAATTGTTTTATTATGGCCGGATATCCGACACAATATGGCGGCGGCACGCTAGTACAATAAAGTGTCAAATGATACGTCATTTACATTGGACAGTACACAGCGTTGTATTTCGGAACATACCCATAATCTGTTAATCGGTAGAATGACGCTTACCAAGACAAAATGTCACTTTGTTCCCTTGTTACACAACATGTAACACCCATGTGGTTCCCATTCATTAAGTTATCACAATATGTATTAAAACGTATAGAAATAAAATTAACATCAGAAAACTCAACCATAAAAATTAAAATTGTAAAAATTTTCATTCACAAAATTGTAAATGATTTTATTACCGCTACCTGGCGAGTGAATCGGTAAAGCGGGCGTGGTCTTTGACAATTGATACTCTTACTCCCCCTCCCAAAGCAGAAGTAATAAATACAAGTGCGCCCTCCTTTCTGCCAAGGAGGGTCGCGTTCGTATACGGCTTAGAGATCTCTAGTCAGATCGTTAAGCCATTTCCTAAAAGGCGGTGTTTAGTGGGTAAAAGTTTCCACATAACCACGCAGCCGGCTGCGTGGTATGCTATGAGCATTCACCGCCTCCCTCCCCCGCTTTCCGGAGGGTTGCCCATATTTGCTTCGGGCGCAAAAAAAAAAAAGCGGTGATGGTCGTTGCTATTTATGCACAGACAAAGGCTGGACATGTTCGTAGCTGCAAGCATTGATTTATATATTACACTACATCAGTAACAACCGCGCCAAAGCGTTGTCCCTGCACATATGGCCACAGCCATATGCCTAGCTAACGTCAGTTCGGTGTTCAATGTGACGCCGACAGAGTCGAGCTGCGACAAAAAATGGGTAAATGCGTAGTGAAAGAGTGCTATTCAAGGTCACAAAAACGCAATAAATCAAGCGGAATCACTTTCAACACATAATTTTAGTTCTTGTTTTCATATAAACGTAAACAACCTCAAATAATTGAATAAAATTATCGAATATTGCCATTCAGGTTCAATGTTGCCACTTTTCCGCATTTCTGATTATCCTACATTAAGGGGAAATATAACCTCAAATGGCTTAGCAAGATCCTCCGTTATGCCGAAAGTATTGCAGCATTAATTTTGAAATAAATATATGGTAAAGTTGAGGATTAATGTTAAGGTTTATGTTAGACGAAAACACGATTCCGTAAAATTTTCTCGATAGAAAAAAAATCCAAAGTTACCTCCAAACTGAACAATAAACCGCTGTTATTCATAAAATACTTTAAATAAGATCATGAAACTTTGCATACTAACTGAACTAACCATAAAGCAGTGCTTATGTTATTTACTTTTTTTAAAATATCATTATTTTCACTGTAAAAAGAAATTACCTAAACTATCGGCGCGTAAGCTTGGTTCCTGTTCCTGTCGCTCCGTTAGTATTGCTCCGGCTTTTGAAGGGAGAAGTTGTGTCGCTTACGATCAGAAAACACATTACGCAACAGGAAGAGGTAAAATTAAAATGGGAAATAACCGTTATAAAAATAGGAAGCGACTGGGTTGGCGTTAAGAAACAGGCATATATATGATAAACATAATGAAATAAGTATCTAACGACCTATCTACTTAGAGTATTAGTGATTACAAACATGTCGGTACATAGCCTACGACGCGCGGGGGAAGTGGGGGCGAAATTAGAATTTGAGCTGACTTACTCTCACCTCTTAATTGGAGACTATATAATTAATGGAGTAAGTTTATTTATTTATTTATTTATTTATTTATTCAGGATAACAACAGCTTATTAATACTTAAACAATATTACTTAAATAATTAAACATGAAAAAGCCAATTATAGTTATCCCCAAAGTAGATAACCAAACATAACACTTTACCTCTGTTAATTTGTTACCTCTGATTTTAAATACTTTGGAAATTATAATAAAAACTACGTTTTAACTTTCATATAAAATAATTAATTATTCTTATTTTAGTTTATTCATGATTTAACTATTAAATATATTTTATTACCTATTTTATATTAATAATTTCATAGTAATTATAATTTCATATAAATTTTATATTAATTATATTTTATTACCTATTTTATATTATTTGATTTATTAGTACAATGAAAATATGTTTTATTTCATCATTATGTTTACTTATATTCATCTGATAAGCTTTGTATCCTTTTTTCTAAGGGGACGCAATAAATATTTTAAAATAAAACATACTTTTTTTAATATAAAACAATTAATTGCAGCTTAAAAAACTCATTTTATTGCGTATTTTAGGTAAAATTTCATATAGTAAGCCATACCAACCCGCCATTGCATGTTTGTGTGTCTATCTTTATCTAATCTTAACGACGATAATGTTTTTGCAACTTGTGTAAGTAAGACAGATATATGTTTATTTAAAATGTTTAGTAATTTCAAAGCTACGTCGTCGCGTTTGGATAGTGGTTACACTTTATTCGACGCGCGGTAATGTGGTTTGCTCCTCTAGTGTTGTATAACTCAATGCCTGCAAGATTCTTAAGGGGTCGTGAACTGAATAACCTTCTTGACAGGCACGAAAGATTGTCCAATTTGTACCCCGTATAGGAAAGATACCAAGGTATTAGCCAAAGAGACCACTTTTGTCTACGTAGAAAAAAGCAAGGCTGGCTGCGTCGTCTCCAGATGGTTAGTAAACGGCGTTAAGAGGGTAGACGGGCTGCATTTTTTTCATACAAATGTATTCCCCTATTTTCTTCCTGGATAATGTCTCTATAGTAATCGTTTTTGTTTATAAAAATCTAGATCTATTGAAGGCATGCCCCTGTCACTTATTTTTTTTTTCAAAAAATTATTACAAAAATAAATATGTCTTACCTAAAACCTAAAAAAAAATGCCCCGTTTTTACCTCCGTAATCAGACGACTACCAAAGAAATTTGTTTTAAAAGTTTTTAAGACAAAAGCAAACGATAGAAGCATAGATCTATTCTTCCTTTAAATTTTGATACCGAAAATAATGTAATTGGCTTAGTTTTCGTGGAGAAAACAGGAGAATACGAAACGACGATCGGTCATGGTTTTTGTAGGTTTCGTCGGTGCTAAATCGTTTTGAGCTGCAGTTGTCCCTATCGCACTCTTCGGGTGGAGACCAGAGGTGAGGGACGGCAATAGTTTCCTTCAAATACCTATTTTTCAGTTCCCGCGCAGACCGTCTACCCTCATAATGTTAGAGTCCCCTGATATTGCACAGTGGCGTGTTGGAATTCGAAGAGGTCTACGAGCACCCTGCATAAATGGGTGTCGTTAATTCATCTTAGTTTTTCCTTCAGTAAAATTTTTACGCAGTCAGATATTTTAATTACTGATTTAACCATTGAGCCAGATAAACTATACGTAATATTGAGAAATAAAACTCGCGTAAGTCATATTCTAACATTTATTTTATTTTCCAAGAAATTTATATCTAGTACGAGTAAATCGAGGATTTACACAATTGAATGATATAAAATTAAATGTTAAATAATCAGTCTTTTGAAGATAAACATTATATTAAACATTTTCTCTACTTTATATAATAATTGCAGAAGCTATAATTACAATCGTTCCGTTATTTTGCAAAACGCGCTTACATCAGTAAAAGTAAATGAAAATACAAAGTTTATATAAATAAAAAGTGTGTTTTGCTTCTTTGACCGGACAATGAAACCTACTGTAGTAATTTATGGCAGTAAATATTAATCTATTTGATTCTTATATCATTTAAAAATGATATGAAAAATGTATACAATTACTATATTTAAATAAATAATTTAAGATATAAACGTATCTGTACTTTATTGCTTGAAATAACTTATCTATGTTATAGAGATCGTCGAAAATAAAATAAAAATAGAACTTAATGGTAGATCACAACCACTGAACACAATAACAAATATACCTACGGATAAATTATTAAAAATATACATTTAAATAATTTAAAAGTACAATATTTCATACAGTTTTAAAATAGTAAGGCAATATTAAATCAAAATGTTATCAATAAATTATTTTAGCTAACTTGAACGCCAGTCTCCTGCAGCTACCTGTGATGTGGTATTCTGCAGGCTTCTGAAATTATGAAAATTCAAATTATAAAAATTAGGTTATGGAATTCTCTTCCTGTTGCAATTCGTGAGGCTCAAGCAGTTTCAGTGTTTAAAAGGCGAGTTAAAGAGCACTATTTTTCTTTGTCGTCCCAATATCTAATATGACTAAAAAAAAAATTATAATGTATCTATTTATATCTATTTATATGTATTTTATTTTATGTATGTTTATAATATAGTATTTAGGTATATGCATGCTGTAAGTATATGTTTTTATTATTATTATTTTATATTAAGTATATTAATATTATAAAATTTATTATGAGGATGCACGCTAAATCTGCTTCTATTTGAATCTGTCCAGTATCAGGCCTACTGGAATAAATTTCAATATGAAATAAGCAGTGCCTTTGTACCTTTGTACAAAATATCTTTTTATAATAATAAATAAAAAATAAATGAAAATTTTAAGAAAAGTATATTTGAATTTTTATAGAAATTATAAAAATTCAAATTCAAATACATAATTACAATTATTTTTACATAATTATTGCTTTATCAGTATTAACTTACTCCTTGGAATACTTTTCAAAGTTGTAGTTCGTGAGACACAGTCGCTTTCTTCAGATTCTGATCTCATTTGGAAGCTGGTTTCTGTAAAAGAGTCGAGATTTTTTTTTAATTTTTAATAGGTCCCACTTCAGTGACAAAACGATGTAAAGATTCATGGCTACACATATTCTTGAAAATATTAAAAATTTAGTACGCGTATCATTATCCTAGTGGGGCAAAACTGCACCTGTATTTGGCCCCCACACATGGGTACCAGGCTTAATGGGCAAGGACTAGTCTATCACAGAATACCAGCATGAAATAGCAGTTCTACTGTGTTTCGTACGAAGAGTGTAGAGAACAGGAGACTCTTCCACTGGTAACGAGACATTCTAACTTAGTTTTAAGGTGTATATCTATATGATCAAGTGTGGTCCTTTATAACAATTATTCTAAAATAAAAAAGGGATTAAAACTACTTTTACGGATTTTATCGCGTTTATTTTTTTTTATTTTTTATTCGAGACGTTTCGGGTGCTTTTCAGCACCCATGGTCACGGGAAACTGAGCATCTATGCAAAACGAACTGACTATGTCCTGAGTCTGGACTGTACTATGTCCTTATCGGACCATAAACAATAATTAAAAAAGCTGAAGGTACTCCGGGTTTAACAATGACATCGGGACGTCAGTCACCTCAGTCCCCTGTGACCATGGGTGCTGGAAAGTACCCGAAACGTCGGGAATTAAAAATAAAAATAATTAAAATTAAAAGCGATAAAATCCGTAAAAGTAGTTTTAGTCAATGTGTAGAGTTCGCTTAAATATAAGAAATCACTATAAAAAAGGGAATCAAAAGCCTTCTGCATTCGATTCCTAAACGAGGATAAGAGTGTAGGTTTCTATTGGCCACAATACCATCTGGTGGACTGTTTCGTATTCTCCCGCTTGTCACTCATTAAAAGTCTTAGAAACTCTAAGAATTTTCATTATCATTGGAGACATGAGAAAAAGATTGTTTTAGTGAACACATGATAAGTAAAAATAGATTTGACTCACCGCTGTCATATCTAGACTTGCTATTACCGGGTATGTGGATCCTACTTGGAATTTCTTGATTATCAACGTGTCCGAACGTACGGAATCCGATCGCAAACTGTGCGTAGGGACTTATTTCGTAGAGCTCTGAAATAAAATTACTATTAAGGATTACAAATATCGAGACATCAGAAGCTCATGGTGTCAGTTATAACGAATAATACCAGTTAAATTGACCGTGCAGTGACGGTGTTGGAATACAACCATGGGGTAGTAGGTAAAAGTAAAAGTTACAGCCTATATACGTCCCACTGCACCCTCATTTCTGAGGGGTTTAGCAAGGAAGTGTCGCGCTCCCCAAGTGGCGAACTCATCTGAATATTTTTTCTTATCCTCAGACTTAGGTTTCCTCACGATGTTTTTCCTTCACCGCCAAACACGTGGTAATCAGACTTATGCAATTAACAATTTCATTGGTGCCGGCGGGGTTCGAACCCGGGTTACTCGCGTTGTGTTATATTTACAGCGAGCGTTAACCATCTGAGCTACCACGGCTCTTGGGGTAGTAGGTAATTTCGTTAAATTAATTCAGGCTTAACGTAATACATATTTAATTCAAAGACACATTTTAATTCCTCTTAGACAATATCCCAGGTTAAAAATAAGTAAATATAAAGTAATGTAGCTAAAATCAGGCAGAGCTCAACCGATCAGTAGCTTAAGGGTACACTAGTCACTCATTATTCCATACAAACGTAGTCTGGCGATTACTCCACTGTTTGATGGTGTACGTTCAAAATAAAAAATGATTTCAAATTGTTTCATCATTATCTAGCCCTGTATGGAAACAAAAAACTAAAAAAAGAATATGTTTAAAAGTACTAATTTTAACATATCTTTGGGCGGAAATAAATACCATAAGAAGAATGAAAATTGTAAAACAGTTACCATACAGGGATAGATTAGGTGTTCAAAAGTGCAAATAATTTTATTTTGAACAGATACATTCAATAGATTTTTCATGATATCCAGATTCCCAAAGGTCTGTTTATAAAATTTCGCGCGCTCGTTTTGTTGTAAATCATCGTGCCTTTCGCTTTCGCACGTGATGTCGGCTGAGATAGCATGCATTTTAACCCCGCCAACCATTTAGTTGGAGCTATCGACTAGGGCCACCTGAAATGGTATCGGGTCGGTTATAGAGTAATAAAGTAAATAACAACCACAGGGAAATTGGGTTTTCGAGTTCCAACCGCGTATTAATAAAAGAATTTCAGTGATAAATGACCACCAACTATATGGAGTGACGACATGATTTAACAAAATTCAATCAATTCAATTGAATTGAAGAAAATGACAAAAGTCAATTGGAGCTGGTGGCTCAGGATCATGTATTGTGGTATATGGACCTATGTTTAGAAGTGAACTTGTGATAATGATCTAAATAAATCTCTTTTACGTGGTAGAGCCATGCAGCAATTATATTAGTACTATAGTTTTAGCATGAATGGGTCGGCTCGACCGGGGAAGGACCACGCTCTCACAGAATACCAGCGTGAAATAGTAGCTTAATGCTGCTGTGTTTCGTATGGTGAGTGTAGAGAACCGGAGACCCTTTTTAGTGGAAACGAGGCATCCCCTTCTCAGTCCTCAAGGGATCTGCATTTTGTATCTGTATTTTGCATCTGCATTTTGATTCGTAATCGAGGATAGATGTAGACCTCTATGGGCCACAGCAACCACTTACCATCAGGTGGACTGTGTGCTCGTTTGTCACTCTGTCCTATAAAAAAATATACTCAAGCAAAATTCATTAATATCTTCAGGTTGCTGGTTCATACTGAGCTTTAAGGACCAAAAATTTAGGGTACTTCCTTAATACTTTATAATTGCAATAATTATGTTCAGTGCAAAAAAAAAACAGTGATTTATTAAACGTTTTTGAGATAGTACCCCCGTCGTAATACAAGTAATATGAGTCATAAATAAAACCACACATGTTTAAAACTCAACTATACACACTTACATAAAGATCCTTTATTACCATAGAACACTATAATACATACATTATAGAACGGGGGAGTGGGCGGAGCCCGCGTAGCCACTAAAATGTCACTAAGATGTCAATTCACATGTATAAATGTCAACACGAGAAGTGTGAGTGATGTGAGGTTACAACAGTTTCCATGCATGCAAGATATTTAGAAAATGCCAAATTGCACACTACTTACATATAAATATGTATTAAAATTTAAACGATTTTTTTTAATGATGGTCTTGAACATTAATCAAAAGTCTCAAATGTGTAAATTTATTCAGTCTATCAACACAGCGAATCGGGTTTGGCGACGCCAAACCTCGTACAAAATAAAGTTGACAGCCATTCTATTGTGTATTATAGTATTCTATGTTTATTACATAAATAAATATACGACAGCTTTTTGCACACATGTTACGATTCCTTTAGATCTCTTATAAATAGATTCGATGATGCAAGTGAAAACTAACTTACTAACCATGCTTATTTTAAAACTCACCTATACACACTTACATAAAGATCCTTTATTACCATAGAATACTATAATACATACATAATAGAACGGGGGAGTGGGCGGAGCCCGCGTAGCCACTAAAATGTCACTAAGATGTCAATTCACATGTATAAATGTCAACACGAGATGTGTTTTGAGGTTACAACCGTTTCCATGCATGCAAGATATTTAGAAAATGCCAAATTGCACACTACTTACATATAAATATGTATTAAAATTTGAACGATTTTTTTTAATGATGGTCTTGAACATTAATAAGAAGTCTAAAATGTGTAAATTTATTCAGTCTATCAACACAGCGAATCGGGTTTGGCGACGCCAAACCTCGTACAAAATAAAGTTGACAGCCATTCTATTGTGTATTATAGTATTCTATGTTTATTACATAAATAAATATACGACAGCTTTTTGCACACATGTTACGATTCCTTTAGATCTCTTATAAATAGATTTGATGATGCAAGTGAAAACTAACTTACTAACCATGCTTATTTTCCGCAGTCAGATGTACAGGGGTACTATACACTCGGTTATTGGCATCACTTGGCACGCTTTGAGGCGTATTAACTGTTGCATTACTACGTTCTGATTTGCATTCCGCTGTCAGGGAGTTACGATACTCGGTCAGCCTTTGGTGACTGAAAAAAATTAAAAATTATAATGGCTGATGTTAATGAGGCAAGTTCACTTGCCATGTTCACCCTAATTGTTAAATAGTTTGTTTAACGATTTTTTTTAATAACGCTAACACTACACATGCTACTTCCAGATTAAAATAATTTTAATCTCGAGGTAGCCGTGGTTAACTGTAACATTGGATGACGTTGAACACCTCAGCCCCCCCCCCCACATGACCATGAGTGCTATAAAATGCTCGAAATGTCGGGAATATAAAATAAGTTAATATACGCTATAACATCCATAAAAACTAGTTTTCTTTAAATAGTTTGTTTGTTTAGGTACACACAAAACCTTTAACTAGTGAAAAATATGTAATAAATTTATTTTCAACGGAAATAACAACATTTAATTTTTTTTTATATCAAAAGCAAACAGACGAAGTAAAATATTAGTTGTTGATTCCGTAGTACTTACTTATGCCTTTTAACCAAAATGTAAACACATGTCAGCGAGCATAACATCAAAAGAATGGAACTGCAAATTATAACTAACATATTGAGGTCGATGAAGTCGGACGGAGGACCGATAGATTCTGAAAATCAATATTTTATTAATACACGAAATACTAATTCAGAGTTCAAAAAAGATGTTATTAATATTTAATGAAATTATAAATATTGGTAATTAAAAGAATCAGCGATAGCTTAGGTGATGATATGTTTGTGCTAATAAAACTATTGATAGCTATTTTATATGCCGATTTGTTATATGCGTGAAAAAAAAAACATCGTAAGGACACCTACATGTCTGATAAATAAAATATTTCAAGAAAATGCGACGTTTGTCAGGACGCACTAGAACAGCGTGGTGGAATAATTGATCCAAAAATCTTTTTGGACGTACCCAGCAGTGGAACGTATTTGGGTTATACGTTTTCAACTATACGTTAGCTATACGTTTCAACAATTTCGTAAGTTAATCAATGGCTTATTGTTACCTCCCAAACTAGTAGTCGTAGCATACGTATAAAGTGATGTCGAAATTCCAGCTGCGTTTTCTGCAACAATTTTGATCTGATACCATTGCGCGGGTGACAGGTCGGCAATAACGAATGTGTTAGGTTGATTCAATATGGACGACACAATGTAATGATTCCATGTCTGGTCTGTTTGCGGCTGTGAAGAGAAAATAAAGGTACAGTCGAATTGAAATCCTCTTCCTTGTTTGCAGTCGTCTAAAAACAAAATCATATTTTATTTTTTTATTAGATTCAGAGACATAATGTTAAATATACCGAAGGACCCGCCTTACCTTCGCCTATGAAGAATCTAATAATTTGGCGCTATCTAGATATAGTAGATCCGCAGTAATCCGACAAACGTTTTGCAAGGCGGTGTCGGATTATCAAATTTGTCACAGCCCCCTGGTAGTCCGGAACTTTTTGAAAAAGAGTACCTTGTAATCCGACAAATTACATATCAAATATTAAACAATAAAAAAAGTCTCATGTGACATTAAGTAAATGATGGATGTACGTTAGGCTGCAACCCCATAGTCACAATTAAACTGAGACAATGGCCTGAAATAAATGCAACCTGTTTGTCCACGTATTCGCGAAGAACCCCCCCCCCCATAACGGATTCATTTAAGGCATGTCGGATTACAAGGGGGTGCTACTGTATAAGACAATCAAAGACCATTTATTTCATCAATTTATAGCTCTTCAAAATAACTCACAAAAACATTCTGTTATAATATAGCCCAAATTACTCCTGGCATTGTATGCTATCTATTCGTGAAGTTATATAACAATAGGTTCAGCCATTCTAAAGATTAGCTTAGACAGACAGACAGGCAAAAATAAATTTTTTTATAGGATAGGATGACAAACGAGCACACAGTCCACTTGATGGTAAGTGGTTGCTGCGGCCCATAGACATCTACATCTATCCTCGATTACGAATCAAAATGCAGATGCGTTGTCACCCGTGAGGACTAAGATCGAATACCTCATTTCCAGTAAAAAGGGTCTCCGATTCTCTACACTCGACAAACGAAACACAGCAGCATTAAGCTACTATTTTACGCTGGTATTCTGCGAGAGCGTGGTCCTTCCCCAGTCGAGCCGACCCATTCGTGCTACAACTATACTACTAACATAACAGCAGCATGCCTCTACCACGTATAAATTAATAATTATTAATGTCATAATGGCATGCAAATAACACCATCTGCTTAACGCAAGATAGTAATTTCGTTATTATAGACATATATAGACAGACACTTTAATGTTAGTTATATGTATAGATGATTTCGTCGCGTAGGTGTCGTATGAGGCAACTATAGAAAATTCCAATAAAAGTTTTGTGGAGAAAACATCCTCTTTCTCTCCTATAGACGGCAATATAACCATCTCGCAAATGTCAGACAAAATACACAAACCAGCGATAAGCAGCAGCATGAAGGTTGAAGAACAGGAGAATGATCACTACGTACTAAAGCATAGCCCGCCTGTCCTTGAAAATTGTAGAGTGTATAGCGGCGCTGACGTCGGTGAGTATTGACTGCGAAGTTAGCTCTTTATGAGTACAAGTAGGTGAAGTTAGTTGAATAATATACAAATTTTCTCCGTGGCATTGGTGAGAAAATTTTCATGCTCCGTAATTTTTGACAAAAAGAAACATAAAAAATGGAGAAATATTTTATTGTGTGTGGATGTGCAAGTGGTTTAGCATCTGATCGGAAAAATAGACTGAAAATGACTCTTATTGACCGAACTTAGTCATCACAGAGCCTCACTTATGGTGTCCATATTTCTGGGACACTATTTTCTACGGCGATCGTTCTCCTGTTCTCTAACCTTCATGAGCAATAGAATCAAAAATGAAAGACATGTAACACTGCACGCTCAATTCAGTGGGAGATACCTATGTTGAGATTTTAAAGGGCTGATAACAAAGGATAAGAAGGTGTTAAACTATGTAAATACCAGCTTATTCTCTGCTTTCCTCCATAATTTTCCGCCATATTCCTTGTAATCAACTTCCCATTTAGTTATTTCGCATCCATTGTCATCCCATCCGCTCAGTTGAATGTAAATGTGACTTGCATTACTCCAAAACCACTCTGTCGTTGACGGTGCTATTGGTACTGTCAATTGGACATATTTATTTATTAATTAAATGTAAAAAACAAATATCAAATGCACACAACTATAGTAAGACTCTCAATCAGTAATATTTAGCATTTAATCGTTAACTCTCTTTTTTATAAAAATGAACTGACGAACAAACTTCATACAAAAAAGGCACAGTTGCTTAGTTAATATTAAAAAGTGACATGAAATGGCTTACAGCCTGTAATTATACTGTCTCTCTAACGTTCGTCAGCACTTGCCGGCTACAAAAGAAGCCTTTTATAGGTTATTCGACTTAGTCTATGTAGGACGTGCACTGATTATATCTTATTGTTGTTGATCATGATGGTGATAAAAATTACAACAATTTTTTTAGTTATAATTCTGTGATTGTATTACAGTACTCGTTAGGATAAAAAAAATATTTAATTATAAATATTTATCACAATATTGGTTCAAATATATTCTTCATAGAATCACAGTCAAAATCGCAAAATATTATAACGAAGAAAGGACAAAATATTTTACATATTATTCGAGACTTAGAGAGAATTCGATTTTATAAATCAAGGTGTAACAAATGTAAGAGTGACAATTTCTATTAGCAAACACTTTATAGGGCGCCCTCCATTTTTTAGCAGTGGACTTTTAATAGGCTATAAAGAAAGAAAGAAAGAAAGGACTTACATACCTCCTCCTAAAGTTGTGGCATCAACGTATGAAGGCTGAGACGATCCAACACTGTTAGCTGCTGTCATTCTCAAGGAATATTTGGTGCCACACTTGAGTCCCTGCAGCGTGAACTCGTACACATCGCGAATGGATGTACCCTTGTTGGACCAAGAGTCTTGCCATGAAACATTTGCTTCTTTCCATGTCAGGTTATAGCCTATGGAACATAAACAGTAAAGTTACCACAGCGGGTCTATATTACGATTTCTGTAAACAATTACAGAAATTGGATAATCATAAGACTACCAATGAGTCCGCCGTCGTAACTTCAATGCGAATTACTGGACATCACATGTTCTCAAAACATCTACCTTAGATAGATAGATACTTTGCTCTAGTTGTCGTAAATGTGATGTTTAACTTGAAGTCCCGGGTTCAAATCCCAGGTCAAGTCAAAAACTGTTATTGGGTTTTTTGATAAGAAGTTCTCAGTAGCTGCCCGGAGTTACGAAGTTGGCAGTGGTAAACCCTGTACCTCGGAAAGCACATAAAGTCGTTGCTCCTGCACCATATCAACTATATGGTGTATCCGGTCGTGTCAAAGTACCGTCTTGTCGGAATATGAGAGTAAAGGCAAACAGATTAGAGCATACACTCTGGCATTATAATCCTGTCCTGCACAGATAGACTACTACAGACTAGCTAAAGATGAGACAGCTAGGATCATATTGAAAATACGCTACAAAAATACTAAACTACTTACTGTCAATAAAGAGACCCTTACGATGATTTTTTTTTCACCATTGAGTACGTTGCAAATGCCGACATGAATCAAAAACCCGCACATCAACAAAACTAACAGTGAGCACTTACCGCCTGAGCTACCACGTATAAAATTTTATGCATTTCGCACTTTTGTTTCTTCATAATCAGGTATTTCTAATTCACTACAGAAATAAAGCCTTTTTAAAGAATGCGACGAATGGCGTTGATAATTTTAATGATTGGCCGATACTTATTACACTGGAAAGGCAGTTAAGGGCGGAACCAATACACAAAAAATAACTTTTCTGATCTCCATCACCATCGAATGATATTTGGGTTTGGTAAAATAGCTCATAAGCATATTATACAACTGCATTTCATCATCGAATCGAATTTGGGCCAATAGTTGATCAATGACGCAGTCACTATGTTTTATCTTATCCAAATTAATAAAACTTTAACCATTAAAAATATTATCTACTTATAGTCAACCAAATCTAAGAAATACATTTTGACAGCTGTCAGACTTATTGCACCAAGCATGCCAACCAAAAAATGGGAACGTACAATATTCGATTCTTAAAAAATGGATATCGATTATTTAGAGTTGGTTATCATTTAGTTAGGTTTGAATAATACCAGAATAAATTAAAAACGGATAATTTAAAACACGAGATTTATCAGTTTCTTCGTATTTGTTGTTTCTGCTTATTTCTAGAGACACAGTTATAAAAATTTAAGATTGAAATTAGATTAAAAATAAATTTATTCAATCACTTAGTAGAGATGTTGTTTATATTAATTATTATTTGATTTTCAATAATGCAGTCAAAATTAATGTCTCTTTCAAAGTCATCCATAATCAATTTTTTTTGTTTTTTTCTACCACTTTTGCCCAATCATCTTTTGTAACATGGGCACATGCTTCAACGAATATATTTTTTATAGCATTGAGTGACAAACGAGCACACAGTCCACCTGATGGTAAGTGGATGCTATGGCCCATAGACATACATATTATTCTCAATTAAGAATCAAAATGCAAATGCGTTGTCACCCCAGAGTATTAAGATGGAATGCCTTGATTCCAGTAAAAAGGGTCTCCGGTTCTCTACACTCATACGAAACACAGCATTACGCTGCTATTTTACGCTGGTATTCTATGAGAGCGTGGTCCTGTCTCGGTTGAGCCGATCCATTCGTGCTACAACTACAATATAGATGTAGCGTGGCTCTACCACATACAAAAAGTTATTATAGGAGAAATTACAGTCCAAAAAGTTAAAGCAGAGTCACAAATAAGAAGACAAACAAAAAACCACAAATTTACGCACACTAAGCTCTCGAAACAGAAACAGAAACTTTTTTATTCAATATAAATTATGAATAATACTTATTTAAAGTGACTTTTTTCTTTTACCACTGATTCGCAAAAAAAAACTCTGTCCTGGGAAGTACCAACAAGAAACCCAACGGTACTAGTTTTTTTTTCAAATAAAAGTTTGCAATCACGCGTGTTACAATTAACAACACAAAACAAATTAGAAATAGCTCGGTAGCGATCATCTTTCCCAGGAGTTATTATCATCCATAAATTCCTTAATATTAAAATAACCCTTTTTATACAAACTCAACGTCAAATTCCGTATATTTTCTGGGATTTTTTTGTAAAAGCGTAAGATCGCCCCAAGAATGAATTACTGACTCCGTGGAGTCGAGTAACTGGTACCGAAATGGCGGGACATTGAAATTATGTAGTGGTTATTTTAGCACAGCCTTGTATATGAGTTTTTTTGTCTACACAAATTTACTTTGACAAAGTAAAAAACTTGTTTTATTCATGATTCATGTAAGTTAAGGAATTTTAAAAATAAAAATTAAAATAAAGAAATAATTAAACAATGTAATGATTCAATTATTTGAATATTTGCCGATCATTCGCATAACAACGAATTTTAATCATCCAAACACTACGGTATTATACATAGCGACATATCATTGAAACGACGTCAAGTAAAAAAAGTTAATACTGGTTATTTTGCTTTGTTTGAAAAATTCAAATTTAAATTAGTGATAAAAAACTATACACGTTGTAATGAAATATAGATAACTTCATAATTCTTCGGATTTACGTAAAAGGTTACTTTAAATCGTGTGAGTACGCTGGTGCAAAGTTATTGCGGAATGATTAGTGTGAAACGTCAAAAGGTATTTCTTAGATTTGGTTGACTTATAATAAAGTACTCACTGATCTTTTGTGCTTTCCCATTTACTTTTCTAGGTGGGTCCCATTGTAGATGAAGTGCATTCTTATGCGAGGTTACTCTCAGGCTCGGGGGTTCAGGTGTAGGTAATACAGAAACTTCGTACGAAACGGAGTCAGAACCATAGAGATTTTTGGCTAAGCACGTATAATTTCCGCTTAGCGATTGATCAATATCTGTAATTTCATTAAAATCATTTTAAAACTAGTGTTAAATACATTATTTACAACTAATATAAATTTGGCATATTTTAATTTAAATTATTTTTCAGTGATAAATAAGGCAATTTTTTTGCTGGTTGCATGGAAATGCTGTGTTGGTGCGGTCTTTCAGGGCCATAGCAGCCTAAAAGCTATGCTTAGAGTTTATCTGCATGATTGCATCCGTATTGAACTAAAGTAACTGACATAGTTTCGGGAAACAGTAAACTGAAATGATAATGGACCAACCTAAAAGCTGGAGGAATCAAAAATCGATACGGAGGAAGTTCTCCAGTGGCAGCCTTGTACAGGTAAATGAAGTGGAGGTTATTCCTCCACTAGATGAGGTGACAACCAGGTAAGATAGAATATCATTGTCAGAATCGTTTTTTGCGAACTCGTCTGGGTAAGCTTATGTTCAGCAATGGAATTATGAAGGACTATAATGATGTTGATGATGATGAAACAAGAAAATAGCCGACATAATGATAAATGTGTCAAAGGAGACTGATGTCTCGTACTGCGATCGTAATCCGCCTTCTAATGACGATTAAGACAAATCGTCTATACATCGGGAGAAAATCGTGTTCAGCAGCAGACTAACGGGATAACGAAGAATAAGAAGTATGATAGTATGATAGTAGTAGTAAGTTAGTACTTCAAGCAATTCCAAAATCTAACACAAAATGCTACAAATTACTCTTATGATCTAAGAAAGATTACTTCACAGTCTATTTACTATACTGACGATTTTATACGAGGTAGAGCCATGCTGCAGCTATATTAATAGTATAGTTGTAGCATAGTTGTAGAGAGATAGTAGCAGAGTTGTAGAATAGGTCGGCTCGACAGGGGAGGGACCGCGCTCTCATAAAAAAACTAGCGTAAAATAGCAGCTTAACGCTGCTTTGTTACGTATGGCGAGTGTAAAGAACCGGAGACCTTTTTCACTGAAAAAGAGGCATTACTCGTACATCTTACTCCTCACAGATGACAACGCATCTGTATTTTGATTCGTAATCGAGAATAGATGTAGATGTCTGTAGATGTCGATAGTCCGTAGACACCACTTAACATCAGGTGGACTGTGTGCTCGTTTGTTATTCTAGTCATATTTCAGACTAGAAAACAAAAACTGATATACTTCTTGTTTGGTAACAGAAATAGATATGTAAAACTACTAATTAAACTATAAATACAAAGAAAGAGCCGAGTTCTGAGGACTAAAAATAATAAAACAATGTCTACATAACAGTTTCAGATGTCAGTGTTAAGATATAGAGAATACAATTTTTAAAGCGATCTTGGAATCTGTTATGGGCAAATTTATTTTATTATTTGCAGTTTCTTGAAGTTGGAATTTACATTGTATATTTTTTAACTTTTTAGTAGATTTAGGAATATGATAAGATCTAGATAACAACTAAAAGGTTGTCTAAATAATTCAATTTTTTATTCCTAATTAGTTCAATTTATTATCTCAATTTCACTCCCTAGTTTCCCAATTTTAGAGACAGATTATTTCTCCTTATTTATATAGGACCACCTTGAATCTACAAAGAAAAAGGATCCATAAAATAGGCTCGCAATTGACTAAGATATCACGTGACACCCGTACAAAAATAAAAAGTTGACTTGAGTTCCTTCTTTTTTGAATTTGGCCAAAATGTGGCTACTTACTAGGTAATGGGACTTATACCTGATCTCTTTGCTCTAGTCGTAAATGTGATGATCATGGGGTTCAAATCCCAGGTTAAGTCAAAATCAATCATTGGATTTTTTTAACAAGAAATTCTCAGCTGCCCGGAGTCATGAATTTGGCAGTGGCACCTCGAAAAGCACATAAAGTCGTTGCTCCTGCACTTAATAGTTCTCCGGTCGTGTCGAAGTACCATCCCGCCGGAATATTAGATTAAAGGCAAAGAGATAATATCATACACTCTGGCATTATAACACTGTTCTGCGCAGATGTCTAGTCTCTGTTGAGATTAGTTCCCACGACCGGAATTCGGTCTGAAGGACATTACTAGCTAAAGTCAAGACAGTTAGGATCACATTAAAAATAGGCTACAAAAATATTAAACCACTTACTGTTAATAAGGAGACTATCGTCATGATTCCTAGTAAATCTTGGGTGGTGTGTGATAATATTATTGTTGTGATACCACACGGTGCGTGGTGGTGGTGACCCCGCGCAGGCGCAGGCAAGCAGCAGGGAGCTGCCCACTCCCACCGACACGGGTCCGCCCAGAGACGACACGCCGGCTACCACTGAAGTAATAAAAATTAAATTACAATATTTTTAATAGCTAGAACGAAGTGGTAGTGGTAGTGGTAGTGGTGGTTCGGATATGATGAATAAAATTCGATTATAATGTTAACGAATACTTCGACACACGTTTTTTTAAATTATACCTAGCTGTTCCCACTACTTCGCGTGTAATTTATTACGAGTGAATTTCATGGGTTAAAATTTTTTTGCTTGGAACCCTATTATTTAAAAATAAAAATAGCCTAAGTTACTCCTTATATCATTAACTATCTGGTGGTCCCGTCAAATTTGGTCCAGCCATTACGGATGTAAGCCGGAATAAGCAGACAATTTTTTTTAAATTATTTTCCTGTGAGTACCTTATATACTTTTATATGCATTTAGTAAAAAGCTATTACTTTGACATTACAAAAAGACACTTTAATTTTATTTATTTGTATAGATATATAACAAACGGGTACACATTCCACCTGATGGTAAGTGGATGCTGTGGCCCATAAAAATCTTTATCAGCCTTCGATCAAGAATCAAAATACAATACAATCCTAACGATTTTAACCACTAAGTCACTGAATTCTTCTCCTGTCGTCGCCGAATCATTACTTAAACAAAATGTAAATGTGTGTACAAAGAATTTTACATTTCATAAAGTGTCATCAAGATAGTGTAAAATATTTTAAGACTATTGATATTGTTACGCGCTCAAGTCGACGATACACTAGCGCCATCTAGTGTCAGGAACGAGAGCGAGGGGAGCATTGAGAAAATGACATCACAAATCACTCGACCGACAACGCCACCCGAAGAACTAAGTTTCTGGAAAATCTACACTCGAATACTCGTTGCCTGGCCTGGCGCGCATTTACTTGAATGTTCGGGACGCTTCTTTGCTAATTATATAAATAGGCGCTGCAAGATGCGATCGGAGCAGAGTTGAACTCGGCGACACAAGCGAAGCTTCGGAGGTAATTTTATCGGCAATTTTTACTGTCACGAACCCTAAGCTCGTAACAATATTAAGAAAACCGCAGATCTGTAGGGGATTTCTGTTGAAGTTATTGCGTCTATAATAGATACAATCGCACCTCAACTATTTATTATTTTTAATACTAGTATTGAATCTGGTGTGTTTCCTGATTTAATGAAGCATAGTAAAGTAATACCTTTATTTAAATCTGGTAGTACATTGGACCCCGCTAATTTTAGACCTATTTCTGTACTGCTAACACTTAGTAAAATTTTTGAAAAAATTATTCTTGATCAAATGTTAATTTTTTTTAATGTAAATAATTTACTTCATAAAAATCAATTTGGTTTCACAAGGGGTCGCTTGACAGCTGATGCAGGTGTTGAGCTGATTAAATATATATTTGATGCATGGGAAATTCACAGGATGCTTTGGGTGTATTCTGTGACATATCCAAAGCCTTCGATTGTGTTCACCATGAAACATTAATCATGAAACTTCAACACTACGGTGTAAGAAGCGATGATCTTAAATTAATTATTTCATATTTAGGTGACAGAACGCAAAAAGTTGTCATTAATAGTACGAGTTCTTCCGGGTCGATTGTACAAATGGGCGTGCCTCAGGGCTCAATTCTCGGCCCTTTTCTATTTCTAGTATATATTAATGACTTACCTAACATAGTAGGGGATAACCATGATATAGTATTATTTGCTGATGATACTTCATTAATTTTCAAATTAAAACGACGAAACGGTATTAAATTACGACGAAGTAAATAATGCTATAGCTAAGTTAGTCAATTGGTTTAATGTTAATAATTTGCATTTGAATGGAACTAAAACTAAATGTATGAAATTCGTAACTCCTAATATTAAACATGTCAATACTAATGTAATTTTATATGGGGGGCAACTGAGTCTTATTCATACCACCATTTTCTTGGAATCACACTGGACGCAAAGCTTCAATGGCTCCCCCATATATCAAAACTAGCTAGCAGAAATAGTTCTGCACAATATGCTGTGAAAAAGATTAGAACTCTTACCAGTGTTGAAACAGCTAGAATAGTTTACTTTAGTTATTTCCATAGCATTATGTCGTATGGTATTTTGCTATGGGGACATGCGACTGACACTAAAATTATATTTATTTTACAGAAGAGGGCCATTAGAGCAATATATAATTTAAAACCAAAAGAGTCACTGAGACAAAAATTTAAGGAAATTAATATATTAACTCTGGCCTCTCAATACATTTATGAAAATGTAATGTATGTACACAAAAATAAAAGTAGTTTTGCGAAAATAAGTGATATTCATTCTGTAAATACTAGGAACAGACACAAGCTAGTAGTACCAGTTACTCGACTCCACCGAGTCAGTAATTCATTCTTGGGGCGATGTATACGCTTTTACAACAAAATCCCAGAAAATATACAAAATTTATCATACACGAAGTTCAAAAATGTTATTAAAATAAGTTTTTAAAAAGGGTTATTATAATATTAAGGAATTTATGGATGATAATAACCCCTGGGAAGAGTGATCGCTACCAAGCTATTTCTAATTTGTCTTGTGTTGTTTATTGTAAACATTATTGTAAGCTATTATTGGGAAAAAATAGTCCCGCTGGGTTTCTTGCTGGTTCTTCCCAGGACAGAGGTTTTTTTTTGCGAACCAGTGGTAAATGAAAAAAGTGACTTTCAATAAGTATTGTTATAATCTACATTGAATAAAAAAGTTTCTGTTTCTGTTTCAAGATGCTGAAGACTAAGATGGAATGCCTTGTCTCCAGTAAAAAGTATCTCCGGTTCTCTACACTCACTAAACAAAACACCGACGCATTATGCTGCTATTTTACGCTCACATTTTTGAGAGCTTGGTTCTTACCTAGTCGAGTTGACTATCCACGTGAAATATAATTTTTTAAACAAAAAAATAAAAATAATATTTTAAACATTATATTTATTTGATTTCGCCAACCTTTGGTAGTTAGTTCTGCATGCACTCTGTTGCTTGGTGAACCTTCACCCGCTGGAGTGTGAGCTCTCACGAACACTTCGTATTGTCTCCCCGTAGATAGACCAGTGAGAGGGAATGTGAACTGACGGGACAGGTTGGATTCTTGCGTTGCATCAATTCTATAGTTTTGAGGAGCACCAGTACTGAAATTTTTACACAAAACATATTAAAAGCTGAATAAAGTTAATAATGATATGATAATGATCTTAATAAAACTAAATTTTCAACTTTTTTAAGTTATAACTTTTGTGACCTGTACAAATTTAGTTAATATTTTATGTAGGTTTTAAAACTATTAATTTTAGTAAAACCTAGACAACGCAGTTGATTTACAAATATCCATTCAGTTTCTAATTTAAAGTTCTATTCATTGTATTATTGCACTATTGTTTGTTGTCCCAAATAAATAAAAATTATTAATTCATACAGAATTGAAATAAAACAATATATAAAATATTTTATTAAAACAATCCGTCTGTAATTTATTCATCGAGAGTATACAACAATTTTAAAAATAATATTAATCAATTAATTTGAATTATTTTACTTACATTTAATACCCGTGATTTGTGGCATTCTTTGTGGGAAGCCTGTGTTCAGCAGTGGACATGTGAAATGCTTTTTTCTGAAGAAATGCGAGGCCTTTCCGGAGGGACAACTTCTCTGCCTAGAAGTCCATGTGGGGACCAACCTCTTACTTCCACCATATTAATAGCAGTGTTTGCACTGCTGTTTTCTAGTCTATTGACTATAAAGAGCTACTATAATGACAAATTTTGAAGTATAACATATTACTCACTAGTACTCAGAAGTGACAATATATCTGTAGCCTCTTACGGGCATACGACGATATAGGGCAGTGCATTGAATACTATTGTTACGAGCTTGAGGTTCGTGACAATAAAAATTGCCGATAAAATTACCTAAATTAACACTTTAATTTACTTTACACAATTAAAGTTAAAACACTAATAATTTAAACACACTAATTCACTTAATTCCACTCCGAAGCTTCGCTTGTTTCGCCCAAATCAACACTGCCTCCATCGCACCTTGCAGCGCCTACTTATTTAAATTAGCAAATATCCAGAATGTTCAAGCAAACACGCGCACGGTCCCGAGAGTCCGAGTATAGATTTTCTAGAAACTTAGTTTCTTCGGATGGCGCTGTCGGTTGTGATGTTATTCACTGCAAAGCCCCCCCTCGCCCCCCGCTCCTGACACTAGATGGCGCTAGTTGACTTATTCATGCAACACTGCCCCCTCCTAAGACATGCTCGTCCCGAGCATTATCGGTCCCATAATAACGCGCCAAGCGATCCACATGGACGATCTTAGGAGTCCCTCTTGTGCCTTTCTGTATCCGGTAGGTCACATCGTTGATCCTGGTTACAATCCGGTACGGGCCGTCCCATTTAGCTTGAAGCTTAGGAGATTTCCCTTTGCTGCGGACTGGATTGTGCAACCACACTAATGAACCTTCGTTGAACCCTTTATTGTTCATTTTGCGGTCGTACCGGGTTTTCATTTTCTCAGACATTTGCTGGCCCGATTGTCTGACGTGCTTATAAATGTCATTCATTTTGTTCCGCAAGTCATTTGCATAATCGGTTATACTGCGTGGGGCATCAGGTGGTATCCCCGTGATCAGGTCCGCAGGCAGCCGTAATTCTCTTCCAAAGTTTGCGAAAGCTGGTGTCACTGCTGTACTTTCGTGAACAGAACTTCGATATGACAACAAAAACGGTTGTATGTGCTTGTCCCAATCTCGTTGCCGATTGTCTACAACTTTTGCTAGGTACCTCTCCAATGTCTGATTAAATCGTTCCACCATTCCATCAGATTGCGGGTGATAAGAAGTCGTTCTTGTTTTATGAGTACCCATAACTCGGCAAGTTTCCTGGAATATTTGAGACTCAAAATTCCTTCCTTGATCGCTGTGAATCTCTAAAGGTACTCCAAAACGACAGAAGACTTCATGAACTAGTTTATCTGCAACTGTTGAAGCTTCTTGATTTGGAATGGCGAAGACTTCTGGCCACTTAGTGAAGTAATCCATCACAACCATGAAATACTTGTTACCGCTTTCACTCTCCGGAAACGGCCCCGCCACGTCAATGGCTATTCTCTCCCATGGTGCACCCACATTGTACAACTTCAATGCACCTCTACTACGAGTCTGAGGTCCCTTTACAGCCGCACAACTTGTACATTTGCGACACCAGTCCTCGACATCGTTTCGACAGTGGACCCAGTAAAACCGTTCTCGTATCTTCAGTAGAGTTCGTTTAACTCCCAGATGGCCTCCTGAATAATCATTATGGTACAGCTGTAGAACATCCGGTACTTTAGCTTTAGGGACAACCATTTGTAAATGACAGCTGTCTCCCCGAACATTTTCCCATTTACGGCACAGAACTCCATCCTGAAGCAGCAAGCTGTCCCACTGGGCCCAATAGCTTTTAGTGGTTGAACTCATTGCTGAGACGTCGCTCCACTTAGGCTTGGGAGCACTGGCCCTTATCCATTCCAGAATCGGCTTGATGTCCGGATCTTCCTGCTGTGCATGTTGTAAGCTGTCCTTCCATTCGTTGCTGAGGTGGTCCGTCCTGAGCATCCTCACGGATACCTCTTCCTTACTCTCTTGCCTAGTACAATGGTTGCAATCTTCAGGACAAGGTCTTCTTGACAATGCATCTGCGTTGCCGTGAGATTTTCCGCTGCGATGTTCGATCTCAAAGTCGTATTCCTGCAGTAGTTCAATCCACCTCGCAACTTGTCCTTCTGGATTTTTAAACTGCAATAGCCATTTTAGTGCAGCATGGGCAGTTCGTAAGTGAAACTTTCGTCCCAGAAGATATTTGCTAAAATGCTGCAACGACTTTACCACAGCGAGCAATTCGCGTCTTGTGACACAATAGTTCCTTTCCGGTTTTGACAACGACTTGCTGAAGTACGCTATTACGACTTCTTGGTCACCATTCCGTTGAGACAACACACCGCCGAGTCCTATATCACTTGCGTCTGTGTCAACTATAAATTCTTTGCTTGCATCAGGGTATCCCAAAATAGGTGTTTTGCACAGACGGTCCTTGAGCTCCTGGAATGCGATATTGCAACTTTCATCCCAGCAGAAATGTCGCTTCTCCTCGGTTAGCTTGTGCAGAGGTTTGGCTATATCTGCAAAGTTCTTCACGAATCGCCGGTAATAGGAGCACAAACCCAAAAATGCTCTAACCTGCGTCTTGTCTTTTGGAACTGGCCAATCCTTGACAGCGGCGATTTTCTCTGGATCTGTGCGGATACCTTCTTCCGATACTACAAACCCCAAAAAGTTAACTTGCCGTTGAAATAGTGAACATTTCTTCGGGCTCAACTTGAGGTTGGCACTCTGAATCTTCATGAGCACGCGTTCCAGGTTTTGAAGGTGTTCCTCAAACGTACGGCCCACGATGATGATGTCATCCAAGTAGACCAGACAGGCATCGCCAATTAGCCCGGTAAGTACAAGTTCCATCAGCCTTTCAAACGTTGCTGGAGCATTGCACAACCCAAACGGCATTACTTTGAATTGCCACAGACCCTTTCCCGTCGAGAACGCAGTTTTCTCCTTGTCCTTAGGGTCAATTTCAACTTGCCAGTAGCCACTTTTTAGATCCAGCGTGCTAAACCATTTTACTCCTGTAAGCATGTCCAGCGTGTCATCAATTCTTGGCAAGGGATAGCTGTCCTTCTTTGTAACGTCGTTCAGACGGCGGTAATCAACACAGAACCGCATGCTGCCATCCTTCTTTTTCACCAGCACCACTGGCGAACACCATGGACTAGAGGAAGGTTCAATAACACCATCCTTCACCATTCCTTCAATCATGGTTTCCACTTCCTTTTCACGTGCTACCGGCAATCTTCTTGGCCGCTGACGGATAGGCAATTCCTCTCCTGTGTTTATTTTGTGTTGAACTAGGCTAGTCTTCCCTATGTCAGCATCATTTGATGAGAATACATCGGCGTACTTGAGTAACAACTTCTTCGCCTTGACCAATTCGTTCGGGGACAGAACACTGCGACAGTCTTCCAAAAGTGTGGTCACTCTCGTTTCTGAATCCTTGCTGGGGGTCCCACTCGATATATATTGGCACTGACGTAACCAATCCACTTCCTCACAAGTACCAACCAGTGTGCCTTTTTCTATAATCTGTTCCCGGTCGCAAAGGTTCAGCACACGTACTCCTGAGATGTCAGTGGTCCTGACCAAGGTTCGAGCTACATTCCATGGAAGGTCATTGTTTACCCTTTCCACAAGTACACAACGGTGAGCTTGCCCAGCGTTTCGAGAAAGACTAACCGGAGCAATCGTTTCCGATCTCGGCGGAAGAACAATCTTCTTGATGCTGTACACGTTCCCTGGTAACGCACCTTCCATAAAAAGTTCCTCCTGTCCACATTTCAAAACACCTTGCTTAACGTCGATCTCGCAACAATTATTCCTCATAAAGTCTAAGCCTAGGATGCAGTCGTCCATTATATCAGCCACGATGACATTATGCAGGTAGATCACGTTGCCTAGCTTCAACTCCATCTCCTTCTCTCCACGGACGGGTATACGCTGACCGGTGGCTGTTACCAAATTAATGCGTTCTCGGTTGTATGCGGAGTCCCCAAGGAACTGACTTATAAGTTGGGAACTAACAACCGTACGAGAGGCTCCAGTGTCTATGGTCAGTTTACACGGCATTCCGTTGACCTCGCCCTTGATGATTAGACTGTTCCCATCATGGGTTTGTGAGATCGAGATCCTTGGGGCTCTTTTAACATCAGCCAGCACCCACCCCGCGGTTCTGGCTTTTACTCGTTTCCCTGCTGCTGCTGGGCGGTGCTGTTGGCCGCACTACCCACCTGGGATCGTTCACCTTCCCTTTCTAGGGTTCGCTTAGGGCAGCTGGATCGAAGATGGCCCTTTTCCCCACAGCCATAGCACCTTGGGCTGTATCCTTTGTTGCGGTCGCGAACTGTAGCGGCTGCAACCTCCCTGACGCGATGGGAACGATGATCCTGCCGCACGGCTTCTACCTCCAGTGCATGGGCCAAGGCGTCCTTAAGCGTCTCGTGGTGCCCGAGCCTCACAGCAGCTCTGACTTCCAGGTCGCGGATGCCGTCGATAAATGTCTGCACCAGGTTCCCTTCAATGAGCGCAGGTACAGACCGGTAAGCTTTTCGCACCAGCTTCTCCACCTCTAGAGCCCACTGCTGCAGGTTTTCGTTGATGCGCTCCGATGCTGCACGAAAGACGTGTTCCAGGTGAGCGTCGCCATATCTCGCCTCCAATGCCTCAAGGAGTTGCTCATAAGTCACTTCCTCACCGAGAGCTTCCAGAACTGTTAAGGCCTGGTCGCGCAGGCCTAGTGTGAGAGCAGTCATGGCCTGACTTTTATTCCAGCCGTTCGCCTTCATAACAGCCTCGAACTGGATTTTGTAGGCTGACCAGGAAGAGGTACCGTCGAACGGTGGCACCTTGAACCCACGTAGCGAAGGTGTTGTAGCTACTACGGGAGCTGTAGCTCCATCTCCAAGTATGAGTTCGTCCAGTGATTTCTTCATGTCAGCCATTACGTTGTCAACCCGATTGTTTACTTGGTCGATTCGGATTTCAGCTTTCTCGATTCGGTTTTCAGCTTCCGACAGGCGGTTGTCATGGTGAGCAACCCTATCCTTCACCTCCTTTATCTCCTTCCCGAAGGTAGCGTGAAGGTCCTTCATGAGGAGCATCTGTTCCTCCTGTCGGCGGGCCTGTTCCTCGTGTCGGCGGGCCTGTTCCTCCTGCTGCTCTTTCAACTGACTGGCCTGTTCCTCCTGTCCGCGCTTCAGCTGCTCTTCGAACCGACGAGCCTGTTCCTGCAGCATCACCATCAGAGCACCTAAGTCAGGTGCTGCAGATGTAGGAGCTACTGACGGGCCTGCAGCCGGCGGCTGGCCCTCCGACGTCTGCGGCGTCGCACCACCAAATCTTCGTTGGTCCGTCTCCTGCTGGCGTTGACTTCGGGTACGGACACCCTCCGTTTCCTCCTTAGGTAAAATCGGCATGATTTTATCCCACTTCTGACACCAATTGTTACGAGCTTGAGGTTCGTGACAATAAAAATTGCCGATAAAATTACCTAAATTAACACTTTAATTTACTTTACACAATTAAAGTTAAAACACTAATAATTTAAACACACTAATTCACTTAATTCCACTCCGAAGCTTCGCTTGTTTCGCCCAAATCAACACTGCCTCCATCGCACCTTGCAGCGCCTACTTATTTAAATTAGCAAATATCCAGAATGTTCAAGCAAACACGCGCACGGTCCCGAGAGTCCGAGTATAGATTTTCTAGAAACTTAGTTTCTTCGGATGGCGCTGTCGGTTGTGATGTCATTCACTGCAAAGCCCCCCTCGCCCCCGCTCCTGACACTAGATGGCGCTAGTTGACTTATTCATGCAACACTATAATACATACATAATAGAACGGGGGAGTGGGCGGAGCCCGTGTAGCCACTAAAATCTCACTAACACGTAAATTCACAGGCATAAACGTCAACACGAGACGTGTTTTGACGTTACAATCGTTTCCAAATTTCGCATTGAAATTATTTAGAAAATGCCAAATTGCATCCAATTTACAAATAAATATGTATTAAAATTTAAACGATTTTTTTAAATGATGATCTTGAACATTAATAAAAAGTCTAAAATTTGTATATTTATTCAGTCTATCAACACAGCGAATCTGGTTAAGCGACTCCAAACCTCGTACAAAATAAAGTTGACAGCCATTCTATTGTGTATTATAGTATTCTATGGGGCAGTGTCTTTATAGCACTGTTAAATATACGTTAATTATAATTAATAAAAAAAATTAAACCTTGAAACAGGCTTCACGTAGACTGTGTAATGAGTGATTTCACCATTAGGCTGATCTGGCTTCTTCCAGCTTACAAGAAGCGACGTAGGCGATGAAACTAGGAGCTTAATAGCCGATGGTGGGCCAGGAACTGAAATTAAGTAATGATTTATTAATTATGCAAAGAGACTCAGTTATGTAAAAAATGCTTGAAAACTTCTAATCCCGAAAATGCTGTAAGACAACGGACAATGTGCGGATATTAGTTGGAATTTGAATTTGACTGCCTCGTTGGTCTAGAGGTTGTAGTAATGCGACTGCTGATCATGAGGTCCTGTGTTCGAATCCCGGGTCGGGCCAAAAAATGAATTATTGAGTTTTTCCGTCAAGAAATTCTCAGTAGTTGCCTGGAGTCAGGAAGTTGGCGGTGTCTCACCCCCGTGCCTCGTAAAGCACGTAAAGCCGTTGGTCCTGCGCCTGATCTCTCTCTCTGGTCGTGTCGGTTTACCGTGCCATCGGATTATGAGAGTGAGGGAATAGAGAGTACACCTGTGCTTGCGCATGGGCACTATAAACCTGTCCTGCGCCGATGGCTAGCCTCCGTTGAGGCAGGCCGCCGTGGCCGGAATTCGGCCTGGGGGACATTATTAATTGGAATAGACGTGGATGGGATATGATAGCCCACTACAACTTTAAAGGTATGACTAGAATGAAGAAATACTAAAATATCAACGTAATACTGCTGTATTTCGTATAGTCGATGTAAAGAGTTGGAGATCCTGTTTTTTGGTAGGTAAGTAAGGGAGGCGAGATTACATCACTCTATGTAGTCCTCAGGGATGACAAATAATTTTTTTGCTTAAGAGAATTTAGTTGTAGAATTTAGATGTAGGTGTTTATGTATCTTCTACTTTTAATAGATATAACATGTACAGACCGGAAAACTATGTGGGATTATATCGTAAGATGTGAAAATATTAATATAAATACTGTGAGAGTCTATTCGCCTGTCAAGAGTTGCAATTTAATTAAATCCTTCATACAATGGGAGATACCTATATCCAACAGTGAGCTGTCTACAGACTGATGACAAAAAAACTATTGTGACTTAATAAAGATACTAATACCTCTCATCTGTGAGGAAATCAAAATGGAAACTGTCATGTCTGTGGTAGCTGATTTCAGCCACATCACAGGCTTATTTTTGCCATAGGTCACATCACATCATCATACAGCCTTCACAAGTCCACTGCTGAACATAGGCCTCCCCCAAGTAATGCCACAAAGCCATAAGGTTATAAAAACTATAATATCTCCAGTTCTATTTTAAATTACGATTTTATTTTCTTTATTCATTATTCAGAATTAGTTTCTGTTCCTATTTCTTTAAATCATACAACTGCAATAATATAATAAATATGTTATTATATAATTATTTTTTATTGTATTTATTTATATGTAAAAAATAAAAATAAATATTTAATTATAATAAGCATTTAATTACATCAACAGTACATATTTTAACTAATCTATCACAAAAAACCAATGCTCTTCATACAAATTTTTCAGCAAAACAATGTTTAAAACTTTTTAAATCAACTAATCTGAGGGTATACAAAAGTGACCTCCACATTTTAACGTTCTATAAACATTGCTAGTATTAATGTATACCATACAGCTAAGTTAATTGCGATCGTGAATCTTATTGCACTTAGAAAGGTGAATAAACATACGAGTTTTGTCGCAAAATACGACCGTTTAATAATGACAGAATTCAGCCAGCCCACAGACGCGGATTTTTTTTCTGGCTGATGTCTGCCACTCCATAGACGAGAGGATAAAAATTTTAGAATATTTACCGTCTTGTAACGTAGTGCAGACGACGGGGTAAGAGAACGGCCCCACGCCGTAGCTAGAGAAACCAGCCACTTTTATTGTATAATTTGTATATTTGAGTAGTCCCTGCAAATAGAGCTCTGAGTGCGGTGAAGTCAAATTGAGCCATGGACCATCTGAAAATTAATTTATTAAACTAAGATTTAGTTTTGAATTAATCAACAACAATTATTTGAAAAGCTACTACTCACACATTGGGTGCGTTTGGCAGAAAAAAGCGCTAACAAGCGCTTGTAAGCAAAATGGTGATCGTAAGCGGTAAGCGCTGTCAAATCGTAAGTAGCTATTTTCCTCTAGGACACGATGTTAGTTTTAACCGGGGAACCTAACCTAATTTAAATATATGTTTGTAAAGTATTCATATTAAAAACTTACTAATCATGAATTTTTAATAACATGTATATTATGTTTATTCATGTCATTATATTACTTAAAACTAATATTGCACAAAACAACTTATAAACTCTACTTCAAAACAAACAAATTAAATAAGCAAAATGGCGGATTGCGTCAGCGCTACTGAAGTAGCAATCGTGTCCTGGCCGAAAACTATTTTAGCGCTTATAAGCGCTTGCTAGCGCTTTTTTCTGCCAAACGCACCCATTATATTGAAATTAAACGAGAAAAAATAGTTCATATAATGTTACTTCAGATCACTAAAGTCTCTTAAATGTTTTCATTAGATTGTGTTTAATATTAAGACGTTATTGTATATTTTAAGATTTATTTTCATTATTTTTTTTTTTAAATTTAAAAAACACAATCTATAGTCTGTTAGACGAGATTAAAAGCAGGACTTCTAAAATTGGTAAAACTAGGCGTCCTCCGCGAATTATTTTTACTGATAAATAGTACGAATGCCGCCACTTCGGCTCACCCGCCCGGACACGCCCTCTACAACTGCGAGCCTCGTACCACCAAACTCTACGCATGCGGTGATAAGCGATGCCGCTCACACAGATTGCGATACTTAAGCGACAGTCGCTATTGCGAGACGTTTACATTACCAACTATTGCCGAAATTTTGCCAAAGTTGCTATTCATCACCAAAAAAGGTATTGATATTAAACCAATTGTATGCTACACTTTGAACACTCTACCTATGAAGGTTAGAGAACAAGAGAACGATCACTACGTACTAAAAAGCATAGCCCGCTTGTCTTTGAAAATTGTAGAATGTATAGCAGCGCTGATGTGGCCGTGGAAGGAAAAGGGGAGATCTCCCGCCGGGCAAGGTGTTCTACCCGGGGAGCGGCCGACACTCCTGGTGACCCCGACGTGATAGTTCGGAGATGTTCTATATATACTGTTTATAATTCGGAATGTTGATAGCGCGATTTAGGCTTCGGTGTGCTTCGCTTGTGGCGCGACGACAGCGCCGCTACACTGACGTCGGTGAGTAGTAACTGCGAAGTTAGCTGTTTATGAGTACAAGTAGGTGAAGTTAGTTGAATAATGTACAAATTTTCGTTTCATTTTTAATGAGAAAAATTTCATGCTCCGTAATTTTGTAATTTTTGACAAAAAGAAACATTAAAAAATGGAGAAATATTTTATTGTGCGTGGATGTGCAAGTGGTTTAGCATCTGAACGGAAAAATAGACCCAAAATGACTTTTATTGACCGAACCTCGAGAGATCGCAGCGCCTCACTTATGGTGTCCATATTTTTGGACACTATTTTCTACGGTGATCGTTCTCCTGTTCTCTAACCTTCATGACTCTACCAATTCAATTGCATGATTCTTCTTCTTTTTTTTCCTTTGCTGAATAATCCGTTTGTGTAAAAAGCGTTCGTTTACCAACTCCACCACTAGGCCATTGTGGGTTCACAAAAGTTTACCCACAATGGCTAATGACCAAAAGTAGAGTTTACGTACATAAAAGTGCACACACATAAAATATGTGCGTGCACTTTTACGTGTACACAATTTTATGGAGGTGATGTCGTATGGGTGTGCACTTCTAGGAAGGTGCACTTTTATGTAGGTGAAATTTAATGTAAGATTAATTTTACGTGGTACTAATGAGCATATAATCACGTTTACGTGGTGCACTTTTATGTTTACCCAAATTTTTTTATTTTCGTAAATTTATGACTAAAATTTTCAAGATCTGCCAGAAAACAGTACTTAAAAGCGATTTTTTGTATTTTTTTCCTCTACCCTTAAACCCCACTCGGGTCAGCGAGATAATTTTTTAACTACAAAAGCAAAGATCCTGGCGTTGTTAGTATTTCAAAAAAGGATTTACTTAAATTTCAATAAAAAATTGTTTGTGAAAAACAAAAACCGTTACCTTCAGTGCTGTAATGTATGGTGTAACCAAGTAGAGAAGTTCCTTGTGCAGTAATAGGCTGCCAAGCTACCCGCAAGGATGAGGAAGATACTCCACGACATTCAACGGAAGCGGGTGGATGCTCAGGTGCTGTAAATGGCACAACCATTTACATTATTCAATGCAAGGGTATATCAATGTTTAAGCAATAAATCCTCCTAGCAATATTGAGGAACCTTGCCCAAGAGCGTCCTTTTTATACGTGGTAGAGCCATGCTGCAGTTATATTAGTAGTATAGTTGCAGCATGAATGGATCGGCTCGACCGGGGAAGGACCACGCTCTCAAAGAATAGCGGCGTCAAATAGTAGCTTAATGCTGCTGTTTCGTATGGTGAGGGTAGAGAACCGGAGACCCTTTTTACTGGAAACGAGGCATTTCATCTTAGTCCTCACAGGTGACAATGCATCTGCATTTTGATTCGTAATCGAGGATAGATGTAGATTTCTATGGGCCGCAGCAACCACTTACCATCAGGTGGACTGTGTGCTCGTTTGTCACCCTATCCTAAAACAAAGGGGCTGGGGTTGATCATTAAGACTATTACGATTGTAATATTTATAATCTTCTTATCAGATCATGCAATTGCTAATATTCACAATTATTTCTATATTTAAAATCAAACTTATTTTTTGTTCCTCAGTGTCATTTCATGAGTAATTCAAGTAGTACCCACTATTTTAGTTCCCTACTTGAAAATATGAACTTTCTTAATAATTTCCTGCCTCACAAAGTAAAATAAATTTATATCTAAATCAATTTTCATGCTATTATAAGCAAACCTATTAGTTTATTGATTTAACGCACCATTACATTCTGTGAATTGTTTGTAATATAAATTTTCTGAAGATGAAACCCAAATACTGCGACTAGATGAACAAATAAATTAAAAAAATAAGTAACATCATGTTGGGATATGTGACTGCGTTTATACTTAGGAGCCACGTCCGTATGAAGGTGATCACATATTTGTCAGCACCGTACACACTATAATACGCGACCATAGAGAAAACCTTTATGCACCACACGTTTAAGCCCCGGTACATTGACGCGTAGATAATTTCATCACTATCGTAAACCGTAAAAGTTCTCCCTCGTACTTCTCCATGCAGGGAGGAGTTTCCTTATTTGTTGATTGAAATATTAAACGTCTCGCACATTTGAGGCTGCATCCCGTCGCTACTCTCGATATTGTTTGTCTGGTATGAATAAGATGATTATACCGCCATTCATCGAAAGTCTTGAGGTGCCCCAGACTGTACAGAGATGAAACCTATGTCATTTGAAAGTACAGATCTTCTATATAAAGAATTAGAAAAGTGCATGTAGCTACGCAGTAGTGGACAAAAGTTATGAAGAATTAAAGAAGTTGATTTCTACAGTCGGTTTTTATCATTATTTCACAGTGTAGATTATTAATAAAGTTCCAATTCATGAGTGTTAAGTAGGTTAATGTATATGCATGATGCCAAAAGAAAACAAGGACAGCAGTTTTTTTTCAGTCTTGAAATTATTATTTGTAACTAGCTTTTGTAACATAAATATATTAATACTATTATTGATCGAAAGGTATATTAAAAAAAAACATAGACACTCACGCCTGTCACCCAAAGGGGTAGGCAGAGACTACAAACTTCCATTTAGCACGATCCTGACACACCTCTCTTGCCTCTTCCACATCCATATACCTACGCATACATGCTTGTCGGTTAAGGGTACTCTTATTTTGGCCCATTTTTAGTATATCGCCAATTTGGTCAACAAACTTCCGCCTAGGACGTCCCTTTCTAACTCTGCCATTCACTTCTGCACCATAAATTTTCTTTGTCACTCTTTCCTCATTCATTCTTTCCACATGACCAAACCACCGAAGCATTCCTTTCTTAATCCTGGTCACTGCATCATCTTGCAAACCACACTCTTCTTCTATCACACAGTTTCTCACCCTTTCACTCAGATTCAGCCCTAACATACTCCTTAGCGACCGCATTTCTAGTGCATTTATTCTACTCTTGTGCTTCTTCTGCCACACCCAACTTTCACTACCATACGTTAAAGTAGGGACCAACACAGCACTGTGAATGGCCATACGTGCCTTTTTTGACACATTCTGACTTTTCACAATAGTGTAGAGCCCTATTTACTTTATTTCCTGCATTCACTCGTCGTTCAATATCCTTATCATAACTCCCATCCCTGCTGAATACACATCCCAAATATACAAACTCATCCACTTGCTCAATTAACTCTCCTTCTATTCTTATTTCATACCCTTTTGCTTTCTTCTCTTTCAAAAACCATCACTTTTGTCTTAATTGCGTTTACTTTCATTCCCCTTCTTTCTCTTCTTTTAATGACCTGTTCATTAATGTAACCATCATTTGCAACTCAGCCGCCGACGACGCAAGTATGACTTGATCATCGGCGTACAAAAGGCATTTGATGGTTAACTCACCCATTTTTAATCCGCATTCTTCAACTTTCAAATTTTCCAAACAACTGTTCATAAATAGGTTGAACAGTCACGGGGAAGCTACACAACCCTGTGACACCTTTATGGATGCCAAACCAGTCCAAGTAGACCCAGTTGATTCTAACACAAGCACTCGAGTGCATATACAGAGACTTTAATGCCTGTATTAAACCAGCGCTTAACCTAAACGTGTTTAGCGTTTGCCATAACACATCCCTGTCCACCCTGTCATAAGCCTTTTCCAAGTCCATGAACGCACAAAAAACTTTTTGGTTTTTCGCTAAAAACTTCTCCGCGATCATGCGCATGGAAAAGACTTGATCTGTACACCCCATTCCCTTTTTAAATCCAGCTTGCACATCCCAAATTTTTTCATCAGTTTCTTTCATAACTCTTTCAATTAGTACCTTAGTATACAGTTTTCCCACAATGCTAAGAAGGCTGATACCACGGTAGTTTTTACAGTCCTGCTGTGACCCTTTTCCCTTATATATTGGGACTATCACGGCTTTGCACCAGTCTATATATTAGACAGAAAATAATTAAACTTATGTATTACACCTTTTATAATTAGTGGAGCACTCGCGTGGGGCACTTATTAAATAAAAGTAAAATACGATGAAACACAAATACGAAGGAAAAGCGTACATACGAGTATACCAAGAAACAGCGAAGTCGGTAAACGATAAACGTGAATCAGATTCAGATCAAGTCTGACATTGACACTTTGCTGTGTTGCCACATTGAATTACCGTAGGTCTCTAGACTGCCGTCAAAAAGTCCCTAGTTATGCATGAATTTAGTAATAATAAAAGTCCCCAAATGTCGCTAAATTTAATTTTATTTTAAAAAAAAACCGAAACAAAGATAGAATCGAACAATATATTCATCTAACATTAATATTATATATATATATATATATATATATATATATATATATATATATATATATATATATATATATATATATATATATATATATATATATATATATATATATATATATATATATATATATATATATATATATATATATATATATATATTATACATATATATATATATATTATATATATATATATATATATATATATATATATATATATATATATATATATATATAATATTAATGTTAGATGAATATATTGTTCGATTCTATCTTTCTTTCGGTTTTTTTTTAAATAAAATTAAATTTAGCGAAATTTGGGGTCTTTTATGGGGTGAGTTAACCATCAAATGCCTTGTGTACGCCGATGATCAAGTCATACTTGCGTCGTCGGCGGCTGAGTTGCAAATGATGGTTACATTAATGAACAGGTCATTAAAAGAAGAGAAAGAAGGGGAATGAAAGTAAACGCAATTAAGACAAAAGTGATGGTTTTTGAAAGAGAAGAAAGCAAAAGGGTATGAAATAAGAATAGAAGGAGAGTTAATTGAGCAAGTGGATGAGTTTGTATATTTGGGATGTGTATTCAGCAGGGATGGGAGTTATGATAAGGATATTGAACGACGAGTGAATGCAGGAAATAAAGTAAATAGGGCTCTACACTATTGTGAAAAGTCAGAATGTGTCAAAAAAGGCACGTATGGCCATTCACAGTGCTGTGTTGGTCCCTACTTTAACGTATGGTAGTGAAAGTTGGGTGTGGCAGAAGAAGCACAAGAGTAGAATAAATGCACTAGAAATGCGGTCGCTAAGGAGTATGTTAGGGCTGAATCTGAGTGAAAGGGTGAGAAACTGTGTGATAGAAGAAGAGTGTGGTTTGCAAGATGATGCAGTGACCAGGATTAAGAAAGGAATGCTTCGGTGGTTTGGTCATGTGGAAAGAATGAATGAGGAAAGAGTGACAAAGAAAATTTATGGTGCAGAAGTGAATGGCAGAGTTAGAAAGGGACGTCCTAGGCGGAAGTTTGTTGACCAAATTGGCGATATACTAAAAATGGGCCAAAATAAGAGTACCCTTAACCGACGAGCATGTATGTATAGGTATATGGATGTGGAAGTGGCAAGAGAGGTGTGTCAGGATCGTGCTAAATGGAAGTTTGTAGTCTCTGCCTACCACTCTATATATATATATATATATATATATATATATATATATATATATATATATATATATATATATAGCGATAAGACCGCCTTATTGTACATACGTATATATTAAGTTTTCTCTGTAATGTATTTATTCGTTGTATATGTGTGGTGTAAAATAAAGTATATACTACTATATATATATATATATATATATATATATATATATATATATATACATATATAGGTGATGGAATGTAGTTGTACTTTTTTTATGTGTTTATTATTGTATAAGCGACATCCAGAGAACCTTTGTTTCGGTTCCTTTAGATTTTATTATTTCTTTAACTGATAGATTATAGTATTCCTTACGCCTAAAGTAGTCAGATGGTAACATAAATTGAAGTAAGTGCAAATGTCACTAAAAGTCGCCAGAATATTTTTTGGCGCTAAACATTGAATTAAACTCCCCAACTTAACAAAAAACTCGTTAGATTTAGCGACAAAGTCGCAAAAGTGGCAACACTGACACTTTGACTGTTTTCATGCTTGACGGACGGGTTCAGTGTTGCAAGTACTAAAGTAA